CCAAATCAAATACAATCAATACCTGTATAAACCTGAAAACCAGAAGGAATGGCAGTCCGAGTTGAGCAGCCAATGGAATTATTGCCGTTGAAAACACGGACATCATACCAGATATGAAAAATGGCCATCTGAAAAACCCTCAAAAGAAAGGAGTCTCTGTCGGTCCGATCACAAGTGCAAATGTCTATGAGTTGAACGACAAAATTCAGCTTGTCACCATAGCTGAGCATACTGCAGCTCTCTGCTTCATTTCTAACCTTACCTCGCTCCATATTTGATGTAGGCGTAGTTTATTGGGAAGGTGCCAAGTATAGTACCGACTGCTACCGCCCAAATAATTGCACTTTTTTGTTGTGGACTGTAGTCGAAGCGGCTCACCAACGTCTAAATTCACCTTCACTTCTAATATTGATCGATTATGTTCAACAATCAATTTTACTTTCTATTTCGAGTTCCACTAACGGACCTAGGAAACACATCTCCGTTTAAGTATAGTCGTGATCCCTACAAAGGACAAAGCGTATGACACGGTGCATGTCGGAGGCCACGACGGCATGTTCCAACAGTGATGCCACCCTGAGCCCGCTAGAAGTAGTGGGAAATCGGACCTGGCTGCGCTTTAAGCCACGCCACCGTCCTAGTCCCTATTGATGATCGGGATTGTGACTGTACAATGATTGAGGCTGTAGTCAGATTTTTATTAGGTTGGTAAAAAAGTATTTTCCGATTTTTTCTTGAAAGCTGCTATTTAATACGGGCATTCGGGAATACCTGAGAATATTCTAGAACATTCATGGAGCTTCGCCCCTATGGGGTATATAAACCGTTTCACTTTCATTAAGCATTAACCATGGCTGAAATTACCAACACCAATATTCGAGCAATATTTTTCTACGAGTGGCGCCATGAGACTAATGCAGCCGCTGTAGCCCGAAAGGTCAACGACGCATTCGGTGAAGGAACGACTACCGATCGTACCGTACGCAATCGGTAAAAACGCTCCGAGAGACAGACATGGAAGACCGACCTCGTAGTGGGCGTGCTTCAGTGCCTGGAAATTTGGCATTGCTCGCATCCACTGAAGAAGAGCCATGCACCATCGTACGGGTTCTGGTAAGCAGGTTCGGGTGAACGCATATGACGGTTGGAAACCGCCTTTACGCTCTTGGATCAGGGTACGCCTCATTGTGATCATC